AGTATAAAAAACATACTCTAGTCTTATAACTTTTGCCTTCCAACCTAATAGCAAAGCAATATGCTTCCATATGTTTCAATATACATATATACATACACACACAAATACAATTGTACTCCTGATAATTAATCTCCAAAAAACTAGTAACCACCAACAATTAATCAAATTTTAGAAATTGACTCCAGTTTAAATTTGTGTATCTGGTATTGTTTTTGGTTTGATAATTAATAACCAATAATAATTAACATTTCTTTCTGCAATGAATGATATTAATTAGTGGGGAGATGACTATGTGTAAAATATACTTGTATACTTTTTTTTTTATTTATTTGTTTCATATACGTGAATTGCATGCATTCTCTTTGTGTGCTATTCCTGGAGGCAGCTATGAATATTCGTAACCTTGGGGAGACCGCAAGGTTACATTATCCGACATTGCTGAAATTCTATTCCACGTCTTCAAAAACGGAGTCAGCCTGAGAAACAGGGAGACAAAACCCACCATTCCAATGAAGATTAAACACCAAGGCTGGAGCAAATTAAGATCAGGCTGTGGAGTTGGAAGAACAATTGTTAAATCTGCCTATCTTTAGAAACAATTACTGTATTGCATGTCTCAAATCACATGGTCATCCAAGTGATAAGGTGAAGGTTGGTGCAAAGCAGATTAGGAATCAGCAAAAAGTCTGTGTAGAAGGATTTTGCAATTGATTTTGTTCTTGACTAACTTAGCCTTGAAAACAGTGTGAGCATTTTAAAAGCTTAAATTTCTTAGTGTATTGTTGTGCATTGACAAAAATGTTTTTATTGTAGATTTCCATTTAGCCCTTCTCTGTGGATCTTTTCTCTCATGGGTTCCTTTTCCAGCTCTTCATTTAGCTTCCAATTATATTTGCTCTTTGACTTCACTCCCATTTATTGATTGATTTATTTATTTGTTGTTTTTTGTCACAGGAAACTAAAAACATCCACAGGATTATGACTCTTGAAGATATTATCTTCGCCTGATCCTAATTAACTGATTTGTAGTGTGTCTTCCCCGAGTCTAGGATTTTAATTTGTTTCAGTTTAACCCACCCTCTCTGCATGATGATTCTAGACAATCTCCCAGCATTGCAAAAATTTATCAAAACATATCTAATTGAAATGCAAAATCATTGAGTGAAGTGAAAATTGTGGTTGATTATTCAAATCACCACAAAGAAGCAATCAATACACACTTATGTAATTGTTGTCATTCTGAAATAGAATCACGCATTTTTTCTTTTTTTCTTTTTTTCTTTTTTTCTTTTTTTGCTTTAGTGGTCTCACACAATAATTCCAGTAATTTTTTTTTGTGAATTTATTTTTCAATGAACATATTTTGAATTAAGAGATAAATACTCCAAGTAGTTTGTAAACACAAAATATGAAAACTTTTGTTTCTACATGATGGCTGTAGACATTCACAGTAACTCTATCACCTGCCCCCATTAATTAACACAAATGGAATATTAATGGAGAGATTAAAATCATGACACAAGTTGTCAATTGTTCTGTATAAGTGTGTGTGCATATATATATATATATATGTTGAACAAGGACCAGAACATCCACTTGCAACTAGAATTTTTGAGACTTAAAATTCTTATCAAAAACTAAAATTTTCAAAACTATCAAAATTGGTAGGCATTACACTAAAAATGAGTGTGCTTAGAAAAATATGACTGGGTAATCCTAAATGGGACAAATGAATTGGGTTAAACCCAAAAGTCATTTCAGAGAATCACCATTTTTAGAATATTATTTTTAAAAAAAGAAAAAATGACCTGATTACTACAACCACACACCTCACCCAAACCTCAGCATGGCAAGGGATTGGAATAAGAAACAATTAAACAGAAGATTGTGCAATCTGCTTTTTTACATGATTCTGGGAGGAAGGAAGGGAGTGCAAAGTGGAGGAGGCCATGATGTGGCCATTGGGTTGCTGACCTGGACCCCGGGATAGTCCACCTCAGCATCAATCGGCTGCATATTCACTCCCTTTTTGACTTTGCTATATTTGAAGTCAAAGTGTGGGAGTTGTTGACCTCAAATCAGTGAGCTGATTGAGAGATCTCACCCCACACTCTCATTTCCCTTTTCCCTCACTTCCTTGTTCCTTATTGGAACATTGAATTGTTCTTCAATTGTTCTTTTTAATTAACTATTTAAGTTGTTTTACTACCGCAGCTTTTCATGCTCAGATCAATCATTGGCACATGGTGTGAGAAGCTGCCAATAGAATATAAAATGATGGGAATGTGTGTATCTGTGTTGTATTATGTCAAAAACCCAATTCTTTCAATAATATTAATGAATTGATTGTTGTTGTGATAAGAATTATTAAATTAAAAATTATTATTTAATTATTTATTTTAAGTTTGTTGGAAAACTTGAATTGGTGAATGTGTTGACAAGTTTATTTTGGCAAAATCCCACAACTTTGCTGACATAACAATTCACACAGCAAAGCCTCACAAGGTAGAAAATGATATGAAGAAGAATCAAGATAAGTTGCATAGTGAGTTTTAAGATTATTGTTATTCTGGTCAAAATCTTTATTTTATAGAATTTCAGGATGAGAAACACCCATGAATGATTCTTAAATAAAGACAATGTCCCAATGTGATGCTACACACAGAAGTAGAGCATTCATTTGCTCTATGCAATACCAGAACACACTTAAAACAAATTAGGCATCATTATGAGTTTTTAAATTATATTTGACTTGTAATGTGGAATAACATTCAAGCTACACATAACATTTGATATCTCTTTTTCTTGGGTCATGGAATAAAATAACAATGTGTAACACTGTATATATATATATATATATATATATAAGGAAATGACAACCTCCTTTGGTTGGTTAAAATGGGGTGCAATATTGTCCTCGTAGAATCGTGGTCTCTAAGAAGGATAATTATCCATGGCAGATGTTCATTAAAATCAAGGATTTAGACAATTCTAAAATCTGTTGATGCTCCCTTTTATTTTAAGAATAGACGAATATTCCGAAAGTTACAAGTATAATAATCTTAATTAAAGATATGTTATCTCGAATGTAGTTTCTAACATGGAGATAACATATCTTCAACATAGCAAAGGGAAGACAAGTAGTTTTCAACCTTCATCAAACCTTTATAAAGATTTTTTTGGTCATTCACACGAGACTATGTGATTCTAATTCTTCTTATAAGCTCTAATATTAGAAATACAGTAAAAGATTTTGTTCTCATCCTCCTATCTCCAAAGACCAAAAGGTAGTAGGTGGGTTAGAAACTACATTCATTCAAACACGAAAACAGACATACACACACACACATATATATATATATATATATATATATACATACATATGTTTACACATAAAATTTAATGTAGATTTTTTTATCGTCATATATTTAGCATGGTCATTGGAAACTAAAAAATTGTGTGCTTAGAACAAAATTTCAAATAAAAATAGAAGGTAGGGGGTGGGGGAGATAACGGCCGAGCCTTGCCTTGCGAATATCCCATTTTCGTCGTTGACCGGGGCGAGGGTTGCTGCCGAGCTCGTCGGCAGCCACCTGGAATTCCAGCATGAAATCCCCACTCTCTCACTCTCTCTGGCCATGCCAGGCCGGGTTTTGGATCCCGAATCCCCCAATCCCCGGCCCCTCTACTCTTGCCATGACTTCGATCGGTTTCACACGAGCGCCGTTCCAGCAGCCATCTCCCCGAATTTATGGACGCCTTACACTGCAATGCCACGCTGGCTCCCACAAATGAACATTGCTCAGATTTGCCTACTCCTGGAGCTTCCATGGGCCCAATCACCTCCGGCGCGGGAATATTCGTTCGTAGTTCAAATGTACGTGGGGATCTTTCATCTCCTATTTTCAGAGATTTGCATCCAATTTTGTTTCCGCTCGTTTCGTTCGTATCGATGCGTATATAAGAAACGAACAAAACATAATGATTTTTGAATAGTTTTGTTGTCATTGTGTGTCATTCAAAACATGGACACCTCGAACTCAATTTTTTTTAGGAAAATTTCAACATGCTTACGTGGAGTGCAACAATATTGATTGTCACCAATCATTAGACTGAACAAAAAGAGGAAATAAAATCAAATCAAATCGTTTCGGCACAACTAGCATCTTTTTCCATTTAGTAAGTAAAAAGTCAAAGAGAAAAGGAAAATAATTATAACAACTCTACTCAAGGAATAGCTATTTCAGAACAAAAAGACAACATTTTGAAAAACGCAAAAGACATATAAAAATAGATATCTTAAACGAAAATGCTTTCATATTCTCGATCGTGTATGAAGATGCCCGTATCATCGTGGAGGACATCCGCCACAACACAGAGTAGTAGTTCCTCACAAACGAAAATCATCCAAAAGATGGATGGATGGATATCGAGAAGTGGTTTCGTCGCGGTGCAGGATGCTGAGGTGGAGCATCGCACCATCACCATCACCTTCAGCCGCCTTTGCAACAGGATCGGATGGCGACACGACGTTAGCGCTCGCGCGCGCAACGACTGCGAGGCATCCACCCATCCATCCACCATTCATCCATCCATCATCGCCTCTCATGTGGCCTCCTCTTCTCCTCCCCTTCCCTTCTGATCATGAGATCATGAGTAGGGCGCCCAAAAGCAGGAGGGATCGCGGGAATCGGGCGCGGAGCGGGTACAATGCAAGCCACTGGGTGATGTGCGCAATCAGTATAGAATACCGAGAATTCGAACGGGCAAATGTGAAATTAAAAAAGGAGCGGGAAGCGCGGCACAAAAGGGAAAGGTGACGTACCAGTGCGCGGGGGTAACTCAATGCACGCGCTGCGGAATCCCGGGGCTTGGTCGGGACGCGGACTACGGTGTCGATTGGGTGGGGGCGCTCGGGCCATCTTTGACTGGAGCCTGAGTTGGAAAGATGAGGCACATCTCTCTCGATTCCCTGCGTGGATTCCCCATTCTGTCGACGCAACCGATCGGTTTGGGTGTGTGAGTGATCGGGGATGTAGCCGCCTCTTGAAGTGTGATGTAAACGCTATCATCTATGCCTCCAGAGGGACGGGGCGGTGGGCCAGCTCCCAGAGTGCGTTGCGGCTTATAGCGCCCACCCTGGCTTGTATTCTCGATCGAATGTTTTTTGCAACCAGCAACCAAAGAGAGAGAGAGAGAGAGGGAGAGAGGAGAGCAGTAGCAGCAGAATAAGAAGAGGTGCTCTAGCTTGTGCGGACTATTCCAGCTTGAGGGGAGCTCGATAGACTTGAATTGGCGAAAGAGATGAAATTATGCCTGATTAAGCCGGCTTGGAAGCTGGATTGAATTTGGCAAAACTGTTTGTGGATGTTTATTCGGCCTTAGATAAGTGGAGGCAGTGGTTGTTTCACAATAATTGATCAGTATTTGAGAGATTGACAAGCATCAATCCAACCATGCCTTCTCATTCTCAAATAGGACAAGTAGGTTTGCAGTTACAGCACCCAGCACAACTTCTTTCGTACCCGATGCCGCCGTGTACGCCGCAAGCACACTGCCGATCCGACTCGCTGCTGCCATACTCCCTGGAGAGCTGGTTTCCTGCCAGCTCTACAACCTTTGAAGCCACCACCCGCAGCTGTGGATCGCCTCCAGGGTGGAGTAACTTCCAGCAGCCGGTGGAGACGCCTGAAGGGTCTGTCGGCGATGCCATTAGAATCAGCACGGGGAGCGCGATTTCCCAGCCTGCCGACTTTCAATGTGATACGTGGTGGTCGCCCATCACTGTCCAGGCAGCCATGCCGAACGACAATCTCATCTCTCAGCGTACGCACCAATTTTCGCGCCTTGATCAGAATTAGAAGCAGTTCATGTCTGTGAACGTTGTAGAGTTCAGTGAGGGGGAGATTCCTTCTACTAACGACGTTGTTGTTTGATATTCCTTCAGGAGGAAGTGAAATTAGTTGTGACTTGGAAGCCGGGGCGAGTTATCCTATGATATTCACCACAGACTGCGAGTTGGATTCACGGCAACGTGCAATTGGCAACATCGGCGGGTGTGATCAGAACGAGCCCAGGAAATACCCGACATCTGCTTTGGCAGTGGTGAATGTCGCTCAAATTCCAGCGTCAGTCTCCCGCTCGAAAGGCGCCAGCAGGAAAGAAATTCTGCAATTGGCTAAGGAGAAGTTAGCTAGGACGCCAACGAGCCCCTCTGAAGTGAGACTCGGGAAGGAGAAGCAGCTGGGCGTGCAGAAGTCCAAGGGGAGTGGGAAGCGGCCCTTGTCCCAGCGGGAGAATCACATCTGGTCTGAACGGCAACGCCGCAAGGGGATGAATTACCTCTTCTCCACTCTTCGCTCCCTCCTTCCTCAACCCAATCCCAAGGTAATTGATTCGATTCCTTCCAGAAAACAAATCCATTCCAAACCTGCTGTTGATAAATACGCTGTCGCACCTGCGAATGCTTATTACCCAGTCGTTCATTTGTTACAGTTTACTTTTAGATTTGAAGGTTCTGATGATTCTAATGATTTTTGGTGGCAGACGGACAAATCAACAGTGATAGGGGAGATCATCAAATATATCCAGTCGTTGCAAGTGAAGCTGGAGATGCTCACGAAGAAGCGCCAGCAGGTTATGACAGCTGTATTACCGAGACCTGGCTCGTCTGCCTCGCACTGCACTGGGCTCACGCTGTTGGATCACTCCAACTTCGACTCCTCTTCGATGACTGCAATCACAGCGTTGCCGCCTCCAGGCAGGGAGTCGTGCCTACAATCTTATTTGGGAACCAATGTTGGGCTCCACGTGTGCGGGCTCAACGTGTTCATCACCACCAGCAGCCCGCGAGGCCGACGAGGGCTGCTACAACAGCTCTTGCTAACCATTCAAAGGTATAATCTGGAAGTCATCAACGCCACCATCTCCACCAGCAGCGCCTCCATCTTCCATTGCTTGCATTGTCAGGTATCATCATCCCCCATGTGTTAAATTGTGGGAACGATTGCGCATTTCTCTTGTGTATTCGTGTCAATGGATTCATTTAGAATACGGAAGTATGAGTGGTGCCGTTGATGTCATTGAGTAGGAGACCTCATGAAGAAATTAGTACTAAAATATTGTAACGTCACATTCGTTCTTGTGACCATTTCATGCTTATTCAATCATTTGAACCAATGACATGTGCAGGCATCTCAGAATGCAGAGGTTCTCAACAACGATCTCCACAGCGCCTTGCAGACCGCTATCACCAACTTTGGGTTAACACAGTTTTAGACGTTGCCGAAAATTCCCGCATCATTCAAGAAGAGTTACGACTGTACACAAGTGAGTTATTTTTTTCCTTCGGAGAACAAGGCTATCTTTGGGGAGATAAAGGGCCGGCATTATTTTGACCAGGTTCAGGTGAAGTGAATTACGCAAGAACTAAGAAGTGCACATCCCTGGCTGTTTGGTCATTTGAAGGACATGAAAGAGCCATTCAGATTTGTAGATTTACGGGATCATTGGCGTCTATTACCACGAAGAGCTGTAAATGTTGATGCATTAGCAATTTTTTTCTGTAGTTTTTTTACTTTTTTTCTTTTTCTTTTTGTAATTATTAATAAAAGTTACTGAACCCTAAGATTGAGGGCTCAGAAGCTGAATATTTCGCTCAAGTGTTAATCGTGTGCAAGAGCTCAATTGCCCTGACTGAAATTACCGTATCATTTGTGTAACCGTTGCTCTGCAGCTGATAGCTGCATGTGGGATTGATCGTATCAAGTGTGTGATTGAGTCTACAACTTCGTATTAACAATGTCGCATGCATTTTACGTAAGTTGATGCTCATTGCTAGCTTGGAAAAAGCATAATTTCAGCAACGAAGATCCCTTGTCATCCATCCATAACTTGAAGGTTTACACACCGCACACCAATCCATTAAGCATGCAGTGATGATACACGTCATCGACAACAATCAAACAGGATGCAACATTCGCAAACAGATGAACAACTGTAACATTGTGCAACAACCTACATTCTAATCAAGCAACAAAGCAAACCAACTATTAGTATGTGAACATCCTCTTTTTGTGCCAATTCTGCAATTTAATTTGTAGTATGTTGAAGTACTCAAATAGAGCAGACATGTTGAAGTTAGTACTTTAGGAAATGTTTAAGTACATGTTGAAGTCTACTATAAATATCATCACTATAAATATTTATTTATTAACTACAATGTTCATTCAAGAAATGAAAGATAGAATATAATTTCTTTTAAATGGATTGGTGTTGGTATGGTAAGCATGGTGTCCTAAGATTCTTGATCATAGTAGTTAGAATTTTAATTTTCTAACTTAAAACTACATCTTATATTTATTACTAATTAAATTCTTTGTATTTGTATTTAGTTAATTGTTAAAGATTTACAACTTTTTGACTTAAATAAAAATGATGACTAAAATAATGATTAGGATTTAATATTTTAAAACTATTGAGTTGAATTTAAATCTTATTTAGAAATAAAAAAATAAAAAAGAAGAAGCTATTGATTAATAATTAGAAAGTTTCTATAAATATTTGACAAACTTTGTAGAATATACGAGCCAAAAATAATAGAGCATAATGGAAATCATACAATAGTCATAAGAGATATCATATCAACACAATGTTTGGACAAAATCATAATAAATGTGAGTATGGATAGTATGTCAATAATTAGTTCATTAAACATAAATTTAAATAAAGAGCTTTAAATTAACTTTTAAACTAACAATCATCTTTACAAAAAATTTACTTTATAAATAAAGCAACTTTTAGAATTTGAAGTAATTTTTTAAAAAAATAATAAAATATTTAAAATAATTTTTGATATTATTAATTTTACAAGAATTAAAACAGTTAAATATAACTTATATGCAAGATTTATTTGTATGTATGTATGTAAATATATAAATATATATATCTATATAAATATATAAAAAATTCTAGATCATAAATTTATTTGGTACAAATGTTATCTAGATATAAGCTACAAGATGGAAAAAATTACCATAATTTAGCTAATATTAAAAAATTTAAATTTTTTAGAAAAAAATTATAAGTATATAATTAAAAAAATAAATTAAGGAGTGTTTTTAATGAATGCATATATTACATACGTAAATAAAAATGAATAATAGTAAGTAGAAGCACGCAAAAATATATTAGATAGATATTATCTTTTTTAAATAAGCTTTGAAGAAGATTTTTCTTAAAATGCAAATTGAATATTTAAACCTTTATAGATATATTGTGTGGTTATTGAAACTTGTGCCATAAGTTTTATATTTTGAGGATATCCATTACAAATAACTTATAACTTGACATATGGATCATAAGCCTTGTGGCTCTTAAGAGCTTCCACAAGACCTTATTAATAACTAATATATGTATATATATATAGGTAAAACTAAAGCCATTCTTAGTCTTATTAATATCTTTCTTGTACTCTAGTCTTGATTCAAGATTCTCTTTATTTTTTTTATTTGTCAATTATAGTTCTAGTTTCTTTATATTTATTATTTATTTCTTATTTGTGTAATATCTCTCATTCAATGACATAAGAATATTTTGTATTTTTAAATTTTTGTTGTAATTTATGATATTGACAATAATAACTATTAAAATCCATAGCATTGAAGCAAAATAAATCTTTATTATAAAAAAATAAATTATTAAATCTAATAAATATTTGTGTATTAAAATAATATTTTTAATAACAAGAGTCTTTTTTTTAAATCAAATTAATTTTATATCAAGATTTTTAAATATAATTTTAGGTAATTTTATAAAATATCAACTAATAAGAACATTCAACAATTTTATAGTTCAAAAAATCTTTAAAGATCTTATTAAAACTATCAATAAAGAATCAATTGATTTATTGAAGATGCAACATTAGTGTTATGAATTAAAGCATTAAATAATAAGAAGGCTAATGAAATCTTAGATAAAATCTATATCCCTTGTAAATGTTTTTAATTCAACTTAAAAAATAATAAGAGTGCCAAATAGACCTATATTTATTTTTTAATATACATAAAAGTTTAAACTTTAATTTTGAAATAGCATCAAGTCAAAAAAGTCATATAAACTTTCATATTACTTAAAAATAAAGAACAACTAAGAATTAATCAATCTAAAAAATCTTTAAAGAAAAAATCTTAATATTCAATTATATTATTCTATCTTTTATCTTATAAATTATACTAATATAAAAAAGTTTCCAATAAAGAATCATTCAAAGATTATTAAAAAGTCCTATAGGTAAGAAATATTATTGAAATCTAAACTAAATTACTTTAGTAGATTGTAAGTCAATGTTTAAATAATAAAGACTTTGATTCATTAAATCTTAAGAATTTTTTCAATATACAATTTTAGGTGGATATATAATTTTTTCAATTTAAAAATTTATTTCAATTATGCATTATCCAAACTATTATAGAATTAACATAAAAATATAAAAATATTAATAAATAAGATTTTAATATATATCAAATTATTAAATCTTTATTAAAAATATTTATAAATCTAATTATATGAAAAAAATATAAAGCTTAGATATTTGTAGTATAAGATCTTAAATATATATTATTTCAAAATTAATATAAAATATTTATTTTTTTACTTCAAAATAAATTATATTATTCTTTATTAGGTAGTACAATTTTATGATCAACTACTATTTGTCTAAACAAGTTTATTATACATAAAGACAAAGATCTTTGATATAAATAGTTTTAAAGTTAGATTCAATATAAAGTATTGATTACTATATTTAATTTTTTTTTCTACTAAAAAAATATATTGGAATTTATATTACTTCAAATTCTACCAATATAGATTTAAAATTTACTAAAAATTCCTTAAAAAGTGTAAGTAAGAGATTATGTTAGACTATATTATTATTATAATATATATATATATATATATATATATTTTAGATTTTTATAGATAAAAAAATCATAAATATTAAATAATTTTTTTACAATAAGGAAGGACATATTTTAATATGCATATTAAAAAAATATTAAATATACTCTCCAAATTGCTATTTCCACCTCTCACGTGACTTTTAGGCTGTTTTTAAAGCCCTTGCAATGATAAATACTAGTACATCCTCTAACTCTATCAACCTTGCTTCTATGCCTCTTTAAATTACAAAAAAACACCTTCAACCTTACTACATTCTATTCAAAAGAAATTATATTAGATTATATTTCTTTCAAATACATTGTATCTTAACCAAGTACTACTGAGTATCTTATGAAGATACAATATGATTAAAACAAGTATATGCATTGTGGCTAGTTTGATTATATACTATGTAGTTTTGTATTTTTATATATGAGTTATATTTGGAGCTTGAAAAGATGCATTCCTTTAAATTAATTTGAATTACAATTAATATTTTTGAATTAAAGATTTATTCTAATATGATACTTGCTTGAATGTCTAAAAGTATGCTATAATGATGAATTTTTTTAATATTAATGTCTATGATGCCATTTCCAATAGTGGATTATGTACTTGCTTTTGTAGATCGAGTGTTAAGATCTGATAGGTACTTTAAGCCTTGTCAAAGATGTATCTAAGACTATGTATATTTTGTAATGCTATGTCAGTGACATACATATTTATCCTAATTTTTATCTATATGATTAAGTAGAAGTAAATAAAAATAGATTTATTTTATAATATTTTTTTAAAAAAAGCTTCTTGGAAGCTTTATAGACATTGCTTTGACTTTATATGTATTTGTAGTTGATTCGTAGGTTAGAAACTTAGTCAACAAGTTAAAAATATATTTGTAGCTTGCAAAACGAGCTAACTATATGGCATATATATAGAAAACTTGCTTTAAAAGTTAACATACGTGTCTTACAAAGTCAATACATTTTAGAGGTCTTAAAAGACATCACCACATAGCTTTTAATTAAGAGTATATATGGAGGTAAGCTTAAACCCTTCTTCACTCTTGTCAATATCTTTCTAGTTCTTAGTCTTATTTTAAGACTTTTTAGTCTTCTTATTTTTGACAATAACCATTCTTATTCAATATTATATCATCTTTGAGTGACTTTTTAGTTCTTTTCAGTGACACAAGAATATATTGAAGATTTTTTTTTTCAAGATTTGTATCCTTGATATACTACCATATTGCCATACTGCTTGAAAGATCTCTATGTATAGATCCAACTTCTACTATAAGCCCTTGCACATTGACAGGGTGCCAAAAAGTGTAATGGAGTATAGATAAGATAGTTGGAGCCATATTTGAAAAGTCTATAGAAGTTTTTGGAATTGAAGCTAGATTAGTCGACTATATAAGATCAATTATAGAACATTCTAGAAGAACTTAGAATAGTTATTTTGGTAGAATCCATGATAAAATATTTTAAAAAGAGCTTAAGGTGGTCATCTAGATGGGATCTATAATTAAGAAAATTCTAAAAAGTTTTAAGATGATTGCATAAAGTATAAGTAGGACTAACTAAGGCTAATTGGGTATTTGGTTAAATATGACTTTGGACCTTTTTCTTTTAGTATAGTTTGATTTTACATCTTCTTATTCAGTTTTGTTTCATTTTATTCTATTGTAATTTTCTCTGTCCTATGTTGTAGTGTAATTTATGTTACTA